AATTAATTACTCCTTGTGCTTGTAATTAACAATTTTGACAGACCTACTAATTAAAGTCCACTGTTATTTATATGTAAATTCGTAAATTTCGACTAGATTTTTCGCCACATAAAAAGACATTCCCTTTAGTGTTGGGTAAGCGTTAGAGAATTGAAAACCCTAGGTAAAATCTCCGGAGAAACACTGAAATCCTGACTATGTGAATAAGTTAGGCAGGTGTGTTAATTACCGCATATACACATTTTAAAAGAGCAACTTGAAGGTCTACATGCAGTGCTAGTGAAGTTTTCGATGCAAACCTCGCTAATTATTTCCAAGAGCCAAATTTTCCGCCAAACTGATTTCAAGCACAAAGTCACTTCATGAATTTTCAAATGACTGTGGGGACGATAGATGGAGTGATTTCCAATGGTTGTGACCGCCAAATTATCGAAACATGATGAAATCCGTACAAAGTAGCTATCACTTGTAGACTCTCTCCACTCACTTTACTAAAGGATGGTTTTATCGGGAAGGTATGGTTCGTACTACAAGTTCGCCTGGAAAAATAGCGTTGTTTAGCAATAGCCAGAAATGACGGCCATCAGAGTACAGGCGTACTTGCATGCGTGGGTGGAAAACCTCCCTCAGTTCCTGAAATATCATCAAATCCGGCAGTGGCAAGATGACTGTGGCTACTGACCTACCATAAAGATCCTGAGCTCCGCAGTGGTCGCAATCGTCATCAGTGCTGCCGAAGATCGAGTGGGAATCAGTGTCGGATCCACGTGAATCGAACGCAGAAGGGGACCCTCGAGAGTAACCTTGCATCGGAGACACAGGCTCAGACAGTGGGCACGTCTGCGACAGACGTGAAAAAAGTTCCAAAGTTCGTCCAACCCTCTGTGGTGGGAATGAGTTCCTACTTTCATCTCCAACGCCGTCGTCATCATCAGTAGCAGGTAGGTGTTCTCTGCGTAGAGGCAGTACCAAAAAGCTATACGGAGGGCAGCCCTATAGTCATCCAGGAGCTCAATGCAGCAAGCCTCAGACAGATGTTTTGTTTTTGACCGATAAATGAGGCTTACCGTACAGCGAATAAAGCCACTTATCCGAGTGGCCAGTAGACCGCAGAAGCGATGCAAGGCAACAGTTGCGAGGGCTTGAAAGGCAAGTGATAGTAGAAGAGCGCCTGTTGCCATTTTGGGGGCACTAAAATGTGCTCTATCGGATTTAGACAGTATCACTGTTAGTGCAGAGGTGGTGGAGCACTGCAGTGCTCATTGGGTCAATGGGATCACGTGACGCTAAACAGTTGTGACGGGAAAATCGATGAGCTGCACCCGAATCCGCAAGTGGTTTTAGCTTTCGGAATCACGCGCTGAACTGCTGGTTCGTAATAAATTAACTAATTTCATGGACTATCTACATATCCTAGGAAAAGATATTTTGACTCGGGAATCGCAAGCATCGGCGTTTCAAAATCTCCGTCCATTGTCCATCCTTCTACCTTTCGTCCTGTTGTGTGTATGGTCAACCCCCCACCTGCGCAAAACACCATTCAGGGCTACCATTTGCAGACATTGACATAGGACTAGTCAACATCTGCTTCCAGCGAAGGCTGTCTTTGTGTGTCTTTCGAAGACACCTGCAATGACGTACGTAGCACCCCCCATGTGCTGACCAGTCCAGAACCTGGAAAAAAACATACATTTCGGAGTGCAGCCACCGAGGGCGTCAAGAATAGCCCACACCGGGGTAGCCAAGCTCCAAAAATAGATCCTGACTAAGACTGACCTGAATAGAGTTGTTGACGCATCGCAATACTCATCCACACGAAAGGAAAGGAGGAACGTTAGGTGGGCATAAAGATATAATAAGAGGTGGAAACTGGCGGCACATATAATAGTGGTGTCGATTGTCCAGACGGGATGAGTTAAGAGAGTGACCCGTCTGGATGGTGAGACGACACTGACACGTTTGTTAAACAACTGATGGGGGACGCGGTGCTATGGGCAACTGCAGGGGAGGACCGAGGGAGGTGCCGACGTAGAGAAAGGGAGAGAATCGAGTTTTACGGCGAGTTGTGGGAAGGAGGTCGTCGGTAGAGAGGCGGAAGAGCAACGGCCATTTTCACAGACGCGCAGTTACAACATCACCATCCTAGATCTACTCGGGAAGCGTCTCTTAAGTAAACAACCCCATAAAGATCGTGGGACGTTACATGAGGACCCACATGAAGGGGCTCCACTTCGAAAAATGACCTTGAGCAGTCTCTGGTAAAAGGCCAGAAGTGATAAACAGCGGTCCAAATAGATCACAAAATTACCTGAAGTCTGCGGGTTCCCACGAGATATTTTGACGAAACCGATGGGGTTGTGAGCGTTGTCAGTTGAATAGGTGCGTGCTGCGTGCTGCTGCATGCTGATTCAAAGATTACGAGCCAGACTCGTTCTGACCAACCCTTGGTAAGATCGCAGTTAGTAGCCAGACATTATACGTTGATACTGTCGACGTACGTACTTGTTATCATTAGGTGTGCTTACCTTGTCTAGGAAACTTGTTATCGGTAGGTATCCTCTTACTGACATAGGCAGGTCACCCGTCTCGGTCAGGCTGTTGTGTTTAGTGAGGGTTAGGGTTAGACGTAGGTAAAGTTTTATGATTAGGGTTTGCGTTTTAGGTTCAGGTTTCAGTGTTGGGGTTAGAGTTTAGGTTCCCGTTAGGGTCACGGTTAATTTTAAGGTTAGGCTTAGGGTTATGGCAAGGTTCTGGGTAAGCGTTCGGTTTTAAGATTTTGGTTACGTTTTGGTTTTGAGGTTTAGAGTTTTGCTTTCCGGTTGCGGTCAGGGTTTGATTTTAGGAAAGGGCGTATTGTTTGAAGTTCTCCCATAATTCCACCTTTTTAAAAATTCCCAGCAGTTTCTCTGGTAGCTAAACACTTACACAGAAATTACAGCAATCCTCTACGAGCACTTCCATGTACCCCTTCCATATAAACCGATTTCCGATATAAATCGATTCCCGTACGAGAGGAACCCGGCTGTCCCACTCCCCATCCCTGGCAACCAACTGCGATAGAGCCTAAACCTAACCCTAAACCGAAACCTAAGCCTAGCCCTAACCATAAAAATAATAATAACCCTAACACAAACCTTAACCCTAACTCTAAACATAACCCCAACCCTAACCGTAAACCCAAACCTAAACATAACCCTAAACTTAAGCCTAAACCTAACCTTAACCCTAAACTTAACCCTAACCCTAATTCTCAACCTAATCTAAACCCTAACACTAAACCTAAAACGACAGTTCGACCGTCGATTTCGACTATGTCCACCGTGTGCCCCACAGCTGCAGCAGCGGTGGGAGCAGGGGCGGTGACTTACGCATGGGTTTATACTGCCAGCAGACTTGCGCTGCATCTACCTGCACTCTCTCCTCCTCCCCCGCCTGTGCCCGGTGTCAAGACAGAGTCAAGAAGACCGGAGACGGAGGAGGCAGCAGGTGGATGGCTCAGATGGATCCTCACCTTAGCGTTCCACCACACCCCCTCGTCCACACAACATTAACCAGGATTTCAATCAACACAACAGAGATTGGAGGCTGGCACGGCCGAAGTCGCACCTAGGCGTTCCGCCAACGCCTGGCTCGGATCCAATACTGTGGTAGATGTGCCATAAAGGCCACATTAAAAAGGAGCGATTGCAGCCTGACTCTCAGACCACCACCAGTCAAGGAGGAGGTCCAAATTACCCCGTCAGTTGGCAGCCTTCCAAGCCACGGCTTTTAACGCACCGTGATAGCTCCGAGCGCGTCAGTTTGTTTATAGTGAGGAGAAAGTGCGCTGAGTCGTCGACCTCACTCTCACTTCCCATCCCCACACCCCAGCCGCTGTCCGAGCCGGTCAGCAGGCTGGAGTGGGAAATGGGCGCGGTGGCTGGCACGGTCGACTGACCATGCCTGCGCGCCCCACAGCACGACCTGGCCCCCCATACACACAACACCAGGATTTAACACAACGGGGGTTGAACGGCGTGTCTCTCACTTGCGTGAGAGTGCCGTGGAAGGTGCTGTTTCAGCCCGTCCCCAACCCACCAGTTCGCCACTCCACACAACACACACACAACGCGACGAACTGCGTGGGCCCTGTGGGGGCGTCAATCAGCAACCTTCCTATCCACGACGCTTGACGTGTCGGGATAGTCTCGGACTCAAGTCACCCCTGCAACCGAAGCCGCATGGGGACCGAGTCGAGATGCACACTTCCCACTTGCGTAGGAGGTGGTAGTTGGTGCATGCAGTGGATGAGTGTTGATATGTGTTGGTGATGGTGCAGGAGGGTAGGGATTGTGTGGATGTGTGGTGTACCGGCGGTTGTCTACCGTAGGTCGTCGTGGATGCGCATGTGGCCGAATAGGCCCATGCGATGCCTAAATGTACGATGGTAGTGTGGGCAGTTGAGACTAGCTTGGTGGGTATAGGTTGGTGTTCCAAGCACTGGTTCGCCAGTCTCTGTGCGATGGATTCGTAAGTGACCGACCAGGCCGATGCGTGAGGTGAATGTGCGTGGACAGTGTGGGCATGAGAAGTCGGCGGTGTCGGTGTCAGCTGCAGAGGAGGCAGTGGTGGTGGTGGTGGCGCAGACGGATGGTGCGAGGGTGGGGTTGGGCATGGTGGATGTGTTGGATGTGGTGGGTGTGTCGGGATTGCAGTCAATTCCGATCTCGTGGATGCGCATGTGGCCGTATAGACTCATGCGATGCGTGAAGGTGCGAGGGCAGTGTAGGCAGTGGAGGCGAGTGCGGTGGGTGTAGGTTGGTGCTCCAGTCACTGGTTCGCCAGTCTCTGTGCGATGGATTCGCAAGTGACCGACCAGGCCGATGTGTGAGATGAACGTGCGTGGGCAGTGTGGGCAAGAGAAGTCGGCGGTGTCGGTGTCAGTTGCAGGAAGGGCGGTGGGGGCGCAGGGTGATAAAGTGGGGGTGGGGTTTGGCATGATGGATGAGTCGGTATTGCGGTCAGTGAGGGCAGTGAGGGCAGGTGTAGTCCTGATCCTCATCCCTGGAGTCGGGGCAGGTGGGGGTGGTGTCAGTTGTTGTGTCGCGGTTGGTGGTGTGCGAGACGGCCGCCTGAGCGGCCGCCGTTGGGGCAGTGGTAGTGGTGGTGGTGGTGGTGGTGGAGGAGGAGGAGGAGGAGGGGGATGATGGAAGTGGTGGATCAGAAGAATTGTCAGAGTTAGTTGGCGGCGGAGAGGAGGAAGAGGCGGGTGCAGAGGCTGTTGGTGCAGTTAGAGAGTCGCAGTTGATCCAAAGATGTCCAACAAGCCCGATTCGAGCCCGGAATGTCCGTTGACATCGAGGACAAGTTGGAAGCGGTTGTGCGGCGGCGTTGCGTACTGGGCGAAGTTGTGATTTCCGGGCTTCGCGTTTCACTTTGGCAGCAGCGATGCGGTTGGCTTCGTAGGTCGCAGCGCCTGTCTTCACTGCCCTCCTCCAGGTCGGTCGATCGTGTGAGAGCTCTACCCAATTGGTCGGGTTGATATGTAGACGCTTCAGGGAGGACTTCAGGGTATCCTTGTAACGGCGAATTTGACCTCCTTGGCGACGAGATCCCGTCGCGACGTCTCCGTAGAAGAGTCGTTTGGGTAGTCGCTCGTCCTCCATGCGCACCAGGTGGCCGCTCCAGCGCAGCTGCATTTGTCTCAACATGGAGTAGATGCTGAGGATTCCCGTTCGTTCCAGCACATCAGTGTCGGGGATGCGATCCTGCCAGTTCAGCCTCAGGATGCGACGAAGACAAATGAGGTGGAAGTGGTTCAGTCGGCATGCCTGCTTTGTGTAAACCGTCCAAGTCTCCGCTCCATACAGTAACGTCGGCAGGATGACGGCCTTGTACATCTTCAGCTTCTTGCTCAGTTGAAGATCGTGTCGATTCCAAACTGCGCTTTGGAGGCGGCCGAAGGCTTGACTGGCTTTCGAGATCCTGTTGGCGACTTCGTCATCGATCTTGGTGTTGCGGGAAAGAGTACTGCCCAGGTACGGGAAGTTCTCCACCACTTGCAGTTGGGTCCCATTCACGCTGATTTGCGCCGCGTTGGAGGCTGTGGCTGAGTTGGATGGCGGTTGGTGCATCACCACCGTCTTCTGCGTGTTAATGACCAGACCGAAGTCCTCGCAGGCGGCGGAGAATAGGTCCATACTGCGTTGCATCTCCTCTTCCAAGGTGGTGTTCAGGGCGCAGTCGTCGGCGAAGAGAAGTTCGTGGACGGTGGTTGTGGATACGCGCGAATGGAAGTGCATCCGCTGTTGATTCAGCAGGTGACCGTCCGTCCTATAGGCGATGCGGATCCCGGGGCGTTCGTCGCGGTAGGCGTCAATCAGCATAGCAGAGGACAGAAGACTGAAGATGGGAGGCGCCAGCACGCATCACTGCTTCACTCCGTTAGTTACTGCGAATGCCTCTGAGACAGCTCCGTTGTCCGAGACTCGCGCCATTATGCCGTCGTGCAGCTGACGCACCATCTGAATGAATCGCTCCGGACAGCCGAATTTCTGCATGATCTTCCACAGTCCTTCACGATGCACCGTGTCGAAGGCTTTCGTCAGGTCTACGAAGGTAGAGTACAGGTGGGTCCGCATCTCCTGACACTTCTCCTGAAGTTGACGGGCGGCGAAGATCATATCCGTGGTCCCACGATGACGACGGAAGCCGCATTGGCTTTCCGGCAGAAGGCCCTGTTCCAGATGGTTATTGAGGCGGTTGAGAAGGATGCAAGCGAAGATCTTCCCGGTGATATTGGCGCAGACCTGGCAATTTCCTTTTCACTTGTACAGATGCACGATGGTTGCGTCGTTGAAATCTTGCGGGACTTCACCTTGACGCCACATCCCCTGGAAGAGCGCAGTCAGGTGAACCATCAGTTGGGGACATTCGTGCTTGTAGACCTCAGCAGGGATTGCGTCCGATCCGGGTGCTTTCCCGCTGGAGAGCTGCTGCACGGCCTTGATGGTTTCCTGAAGAGATGGCGGGAGGTCGAGGTCCACGTTGGTCTCCACTAGCGGCAAACGGGCGATGGCGTCGTCGGCGATGGCGTCGTCGGCGATGGCGGAGGGGCGGTTGAGGACGCCTCGGAAATGCTCGGACCATCGCTACAGGATTTGTGTCTTCTCAGTCAGGAGAGTGCTACCGTCGGCGCTGAGGAGAGGAGCAGTGCCCTTCGTCGGCGGACTGTAGACAGCTTTGATCGCGGAGAAGAAGTTCTCCCATTCGTTGAGGTCCGTGTATCCTTGGATCTTCTCAGCGTTGCGAGCAGCCAGGTGTCCTGCATCTCGAGCAGACGTTGCTGAATTTGGCGGCGATTGCGGTAGAAGGCAGATTTGGTGGCTTCAGTGGGGTGATCTGCGTAGGCCTTGTGTAGGCGGTTCTTCTCAGCAAGCAGATTTCTGATGGCGGCATCGTTGTCGTCGAACCAGTCCTGGTGTTGACGGGGAGCGCGACGAAGGACGACGAGCGCCGTCGACTGGACCGTGTCTCGCAGTTGACACCAGCGGCTCTCCACTGAGGCGTTCTCGGCAGCGGCGGCGTCGGCAGCGATAGGAAGGTTGTCTAGCCTTTCAGCTAGCTCACTGCTGAAATGAAGATGATGAGCGGGCAAAGACAACAAGGCAATATTCGGCTTACCTGGGGGTCGCATGCCTTGTGGTCTCCTGCAAGGCTGTAGGCGAATACGCATCTTCGAGATGACGAGGCCATGGTCGGGCCACCCGTCAGCAACCGCGATCGCCTTCGTCACCAGCACGTCCCGCTGATCTCGCCTCCGGACGAGGACATATTCCAGCAGGTGCCGCTGACGCGACCGAGGATGTCTCCAGGTGGCCTTCTCTCGCTCCGGCAGGCAGAAGAAGGTGCTCGTCAGGATGAGGCGGTGTTCTGCGCAGGTGCGGAGCAGCAGCAGTACGTTGTCATTTGAGCCGCAGAGACCGTGGGGATATAGCACTCCTCACCAGGCAGTATGGCCTGTGCAGACTCGGGCGTTAAAGTCACCAAGGACAATTAAATTGTCCGCCACCGACACAGTCGACAAGAGGGCGTGCAGGTATTCGTAGAATTTGTCAATTGCGGAGGCTTCGGGGCTGCATATCGGCAAAGCGTAGGCACTGATGATGTTGGCGAAATTGCCCCCAGGAGGAGAGGCAGACGGAAGCAAATCAGAAGATCGCTGATGCCCTGCGGAAGACTGGGAAGTCGTCCCACGATGTAGTTCCGCAAGGCGAAGGCGAAACCCGAGTCTAGTCGCTCCGCATTGGGCCGACCACTCCAGAAGAAGTTGCAGCCGGCACCCACCTCCTCCATTTGGCCTTGTTCGGAGAATCGGGTCTCGCTGAGTGCGGCGATGTCCACCTTGTAGGGCGCCAGTTCCCGGGCCACTAGCGCTGTCCTCCGTTCCGGTCGGTTGCTCCTCGGATTGTCTAAAAGGGAACGAACATTCCAGGCTGCCAGAGTGAGCGGACTCACCCTGCCAGTCTGGTGACAACGAGTGGGGCGACGGGAAGGAGGTGAAGAATAAGGTGACGAAGGAGTAGAATAGGCAGAGGAAGAGGAAGAGGGGGTAGGATGAGGAGAATGAGTATGGTTGTTGTTGTTGTTGTTGTTGTTGTTATTGGTATTGTTGTTGTTTCGATTTTGATTGTTTCAACCATGTTTAGACGTCTGCAGCCCTGGCTAGCCTGTAGACGGCCTGGTGCCCAGCAATTTTTAGGCCACCTTTTCTAGGCCCTTCCCCTCGTGGGAGCTGGCAGTGTCACCCCTGCATAGGGCTGCCATGTGCCGTTGTGGCACGGCCGAACTCCACTATGGGGCCACGACTTCTTGTTGTAATGGAGAGCGACTCGAATTCGCCGTAAGCCGCGGTCTCCGACGGCGTAGGTGGACGCGTCAAGGCGATGTCGATGTGGAGATCCATCCCGTCACCGTCTGTCCAGCGGCGTGCAGAGACGAACCACGTCAAGACGGTGCCGAGGCAAGGTTCCATCCGAACTTTGATCCAGCGGAATCTGCAAACCCTGTGCACACGGCACAGCGCACTAAACCTAACAATAACCCTAACACTAAACTTAACCCTAACCCTAACCCCAACAATAACCCCAAGCCTAACCCTAACCCCAAGCCTAACCCTAACCCCAAACCTAAACCCAAACCAAAACTAAACCCTTAACCTAACCTTAACCCTAACCCTAACCCTAAACCTGATCCCAAACTTAAACATAAGCCCAACCTAGACCCTAGCCATAACCTTAATCATAACCCTATCACTAAACGTAACCCTAACCCTAAACCTAATCTAAACCCTAACCCTAAACCTAACAATAACCCTAACCCTAAACTTAACCCTAACCCCAACAATAACCCTAAGCATAACCCTAAACCTAAACTAAACCCTTACACTAAACTTAAACCCAAACCTAAACTAAACTTTGAAACTTAACTTAAACCTAAGCCTAACCCCAAACTTAAACATAATCCTAACCTAATCCCCAGCCAAATGCTTAATCTTAACTCTAACACTAAACTTATCCCTAACCCTAATCTTATCCCTAACCTAAAGCCTAACCCTAACCCTAAGAATAACCCTGATCCCAAACTTAACCCTAGCCCTAAGCTTAACCCTATACCCTTACCTTATTTCCAAACGTAAACTTAACACTAACCATAAACTTAAACCTAAACCTAACCTTAACCCTATCCCTAGGCTTAACCCTAACCCTAACCTAAACTAAACCCTCACCCCAACCTTAAACTTAACTCGAAACCTAACGTTATCCCTAGGCCTAACCCTAACTCTAACCCTAATCCTAATCCTAACGTTAACCCTAAGCCTAACCTTAAACTTAACCGTAACCCTGACGGGAACCTAAACCCTAACCCCAACACTGAAACCTGAACCTAAAACGCAAACCCTAATCATAAAACTTTACCTACGTCTAACCCTAACCCTCACTAAACACAACAGCCTGACCGAGACGGGTGACCTGCCTATGTCAGTAAGAGGATACCTACCGATAACAAGTTTCCTAGACAAGGTAAGCACACCTAATGATAACAAGTACGTACGTCGACAGTATCAACGTATAATGTCTGGCTACAAACTGCGATCTTACCAAGAGGTGGTCAGAACGAGTCTGGCTCGTAATCTTTGAATCAGCATGCAGCAGCACGCTGTTGAAATCGTCTCGCTACTGGTTGTTGTCAGAGTGTTTCATTAGAGCCTGCCTGATTTAAGTCTGCTAGAATTTGCTCGACTCTTTTAGTTGGTTCTTTTTGATGCGCATTTGAATTCCATAAACATACGCAGTCCTTAATGAGGAACCCTTCGTGGTTTAAATACACCTCGTCCTGGCCAATCGTGTTTCCTTTTTCCGCCCTGTTGACGTCTGGGACATCAGGCGAGCACTCGTGATGTTCGCGTTGCTACAGAGCACCAGGTAGAGTCATAAGAATTTGGCAGATATTTCAGCCGCAGCAGCAGCATAACACAATTTGAAGCTGATAAAGGCGCATACTGCTGAGAAAGCCAGATCGCCTGCGAGTCAGGCGGATGTGAATGATGTTCACAAGCCGTCGATCGAATTTCCGACATAATCACTGAATTCCTACATGACCGGGAGCCCTATATCGCCTTTGATTCCTGGTACAAACGATACGAGGACCTGGTATTAGTTGATCTGGCTGTCCAGAACGACGCATGGAAGGTCCGGCTCTCACTCCGCAAATTGCGCCCAGTCCAATACTATGTCAACTTTATCTTCCCCAAGAATCCGCGAGCAATTACTTTTGCGGACACATTGATGACGTTGTCGCAGATTTTCGGTCACAAGTCATCCCTATTTAAAACTCGATCACAGAACCTACAACTGTTTAGACAAGAATCCAGCTATTTCGGTACTTATGAGAGCCTTGTTAATCGCAAATTTGGGCGTTTTCATATCTTGTCTCAGAAGCCGAAGCTGCCGGTGAGACCCTGTTACCACGAACTACAGGCCCCCTCCCAAATGGAAAGAGAAGATGAACGCCAGTTGGGAGGATTGTATATTCTGTAAAGAACAACCGGGGAAGGGATAGACAGAAGTTGGCAGCCAGAGGAAACTACCTCCTGCACCGCGAGAGCGATACCCAAAATGTATGTCGGGGAACGCGTCAAAGCATCTTAAGCCAGGGCACGTCTGACCCGGCCTTGAACTTGATTAGTCAGTTAAAAAGTCGAATGGGCGAACGCCCGACAGCCCTGGTTAGACCGTCGTTTCCGAAGATGTCCACTGTGTGCTCCACAGCTAGGTACAGCAGGCACGGTGACTTTCGAATCATCTACCTCACTCTCGCCACCCCAACCTGAACCCGATGTTAAAATATAGTCAAGAAGACCGGAGGCGTGGGAGGGCGCGGGCGGATTGTACGGTCGAGCCCGCACCTTGGCACTCCACTCCACACCCCCTGGTCTACACAGCAAATGACCAGAATTTTAACCAACAACGACAAAAGAATGAAGGATGCCACGACCAAACCCACATCTAGGCGTGCCGTCACAACCGGCTCAGATCCCACGGAGTGGGAGTGTCATAAAGACCACATTATGGATGTGCCATTGCAGCCTGACTCTTAGACCACCAGTCGACCACTCCACACAAACACACAACACTGGGCCAACTGCGAGGCCCAAGTTATCCCGTCAGTTGTTAATCCTGCCAGTTACGGCTTTCAGCCCACCGTAATAGCTTCAAGCGCGTAAGATTGCTTATATTGAGGTAAATGCGCTGAGACGTAGACCTCACTCCCCATTTCCAGACCCCGGCCACTGTCCGAGCCGACCAGTTCACAGAGACAGGGAATGAGCGCTGTGGCTGACAGACCTAGTGACCTAATCTGCGCGCCACATGCACGGCCCGACCCCCCAAAAAAGAAACACCAGGATCCCACTCAACGGCGGTTGAACGGCGTACCTCCCACATGCGTGAGATTGCTGTTGGTCACGTCTAGAAGGAGTTGTTTCGGCCTGGCTCTCAGCCCACAAGTCCGTCACTCCACACAAATACACACGCACAACTGGGCAGCCTGCGTGCACCGAGTTGGAGCATCAGTCAGCAGCCTTCCAAGCCACGGTTCTTGACGCACCGTGACAGTCTCAGTCTCGGATAACACATGCAGCAGAGGAGCCGCATGTAGATGGAGCCGAGACGCACACTTCCCACTTGCGTGGGAGGTGGCAATCGGATGTCTGTGGTGGGTGATAATGTTGTGTGATGTAAGTGGAGGAAGATGCGATGGTGTGGTGTGACCGGCGGTTATCTACCGCAGGTCTTCATGGACGCGCATGTGGCCTAATAGGCCCATGCGATGAATGAATGTGCAGGTGCAGTGGGAGTAGTAATAACGAATGTGGCAAGTGTAGGTTGGTGCTCCAGGCACTGGTTCGTCAGTCACTGTGCAATGGACTCGCAAATGACCGACCAGGCCGATGCGTGAGGTGAATATACGGGGACAGTATGGACCGGAAAAGTCGGCGGTGTCAGTGTCGGTTTCGGGGATGGTGACAGTGGTGGGGCTGTTAATGATGGACACGCTGGGCATCGGGGTGCGCGTTGGATTAGACATGGTGGACTTGCCAGATGTGCTGAGTGTGACGGAGCTGATGGTGGTGGGTTTGGTAGGCGACTGGGTGTGGATTAAACTCGGCATGGTGGATGTGCAGGAGGTGCTATGTGTGTCGAGACTGAGGCTAATTCCGCCCTCATGAATACGCATGTGAAAGAATAGTCCCGTGAAGGGAGTAGATGTGCGGGAAGAATGTGATAATGGAGGCGAATGCGGCGAGTGAAGGTTGGGGCTCCAGGCACTGGTTCGCCAGTCACTGTGCGGTGAATTCGTAAGTGACCGACCAGGCCGATGTGTGAGGTCGCAATGAGGACATGCATAGATCGAGTTCACATCGTTGGTGTTGGCGGCCGGGAGGTTAATGATTGTTGGTTTTCCAGAATTGTGTGCAGTGGTGGTGGATACAGGAACCGCCGCAGCAGATGCTGACACAATGGAGTAGGAGGATGAGCAGGATAGAAGTGGGGGTTCGGGAGTGCGATCAGTGATGATTGTCGACGTGGGAAGCAGGACAGAGGTGGACGGGGAAACAGTGGCTGGTGTAGTCCGTGTGCTGCAGTTGGTCTTAAGATGGCCTATAAGGCCAGTTGGTTTCTGGAAAGTCCGATGACATTGTGGGCAGGTTGGGACCGCTGAGAATCGGCGTTGTGATCCAGGGGCAGTTGAGGTTTGTGAGCTTCACGTTTGGCTTTAGCGGTGGCGATACGGTTGAATTCATAGATCGCTGAGCCTGTCTTCAATGTTCTTCTCCAGGTCGGTCGGTGCCGGAATCGGTCTTCCCAGTTGGCCAGGTCGATCTGCAGACGCTTCCGGGAAGCCTTCAGAGTGTCCTAGTAGCGCCGAGCTTGATCTCCTTGTCGAAAAGAACCCTTGGCGAAATCTTTATGGAAGAGTCATTTGGGTAGCCGCTCGTCATCCATCCGCACGAAGTGGCCGTTCCAATGCAGTTGCAGCTGTCTCAGTATGACGTTGATGCTGAGGATTCCCGTCCGTTCTAGTTGGTGAGTGTTCAGGATCCGCTCCTGCCACCCCCGCTTCAGTATCCGTCAAAGACTGTTGAGGTGGAAGTGATTGAGTCTCCGCGCCTGCCTCTTGTACACCGTCTGAGTCTCCGCTCCATACAACAGCGTCGACAGGATGACTGGTATGTACATCTTCGGCTTCGTATTGAGATGGAGAAAATGACGGTTCCAGACGGTGTTCTGCGGACGGCCGAAGGCTTGGCTGGCTTTGAAAATGCAGCAGGCAACTTCGTTGTCGATTTTGGGAGGAAGGTGTCGCCCAGTTAGGCGAAGTTGTTCACGACTCGCAGTCGGACGCCGTTCACGTTAAGTTTGGGTGGGATGTAGGCAGCGTCAGGTGGCGGTTGATGCGTGGCCACCGTCTTCTCCGTGTTGATAACTTGGCCGAAGTTGTCACAGGCAGCAGTGAGGAGGTCCATACTCCTTTGCATGTCCCCTTCGGAGGTGGTATTGAGGGTGCAGTCATCGACGAAGAGAAGTTCCTGAACGGATGTTGAGAATACACCCGACTGAAAGTGCGTCCGCTGCTAATTGAAGAGTTAGTCTTCCGTCCTGTGGGTGATGCGGATCCCAGGGCGCTCGTCACGATAAGCATCCATTAACATGGAAGGTAACATGAAATTGAAGAGGGTAGGCACGGAGACGCAGCCCTGCTTCTTTCCGTTGCTCACTGCAAATGCCTCCGAGACAACTCCATTGTTCGTGAAGCGCGTCATCATGCCATCGTGGAGCTGACGCACCATCTGAGTGAATCGTCCGGACAGCCGAATTTCCGCATGATTCTCCACAGTCCTTCGCGAGTCACCGTGTCAAAGACTTTCGTCAGGTTCACAAAGGTAGAGTAAAGGTGGGTCATTATGTCTTGACACCTACTGAAGTTGACGGGCGGCGAAGACCATGTCGGTAGTTCCACAATGACGGCGGAAGCCGCATTGGCTTTCCGTCAGGAGTCCTTGTTACTGATGGTTGTTGAGACGATTGAGGAGGAAACGAGCGAAGGCCTTTCCGGTGATGTTCATCAGGAAGATGCCTTTGTAGTTGTTGCAGTGTTGACGGTTCACTTTCCACTGACGGTTACCCTTTTAGTGACAATGACCTCAAGTGTGTTAAATAGAACAATTCATTATTTGTTTATTTATCCGCCTATCATGCGCTGAATCGAATTGTTAATAAGGATCTCATAAGTGGTTGTGCCAGATCTAGTTGGACTAGTTTAGCCTGTCTCCCCATCTTCACTTTCGTCTTACGGTAATACCATCTCCGTACATTTATCTCTTCGGATTCTCGAATTTGTATTCGGGATCCTGTTATCGTTGACAGCTGGAGAATTATGCCTTATTTTAAACGGGCTCGTCTCTCTTATAATTATACCTAAAATATTAATTATCTCGCTGCTTATTGAGACATGCATTCCAAACATACTGGGCGTGAAATGAGATAGTCGAACGACATAGGAAACAACGTTTTTGAAGATGATATGAAAAGACAAGCATAAATAGTAAGACGGGAGAGGAAAAAAACTATCGACATATTGAGACTTATCGGAGGTTCGATATCGTGTGACTGCCCGTTCGACTACTTTAAGATCCGGTATCCAAAGCAGCAAAAAACTTTCTGTATTTGCATGTCGTTCAAAACAACAGGGAGAATTGCTCTGGCCTAATCGCTGGTAGTTGCAGGGATTAAAACGATTTGAATGTTGCCCATCACAAAATCGGTTGTCCATTTTAACGTGTTAATTGCGGAACTCGTCAGTTACCAGACAGACAACTATCTCATTAAATAGTTTTTTCCGATAGCACGAAATACATCAACCCCACCTAGCGTCTGACGCGTTGAAATTCCTAAGTAATATTACGTGTTTGCTACGACAGGTTTCCTTCATCTCGAAGATGAACCCATCTTCCTCACTTTTCGTATGTTGCACGGATTTTATCACATGTTGAAATCCCAACTGTTGGCCCCGCTGGACGGATGGATGGAGACAAACAGCTGGGTCAGCAACTGAGATTTTGGTAGGTAACCCAGTCTATCGTACTCTCTCGAAAACAAATAACACTTGCATGCTTTATCACTTCTGCCAACATAGCCCCATCTTCCTCCGATTGATAAGATTTCAACGACGCTGAAATGGGCTTCGATATAGCTGTCTGATTATCTGATCTATAGTGGTAGGATGAGGTCGGTCCCTCGCTAACTTTCCAGAACGGCCTTCACAGTTCTCGGCCAAATGTCTTCTGTGATATCTGTAATTAATTACCAAAAGCCGATGGTAATTTTGAACTCGACAGCTTCGCTGGATTCTATTGGGTGAATAATTCGGCCATAGAATATATGTGGACATCCTGTTTAACGTTTTCATTCGGGGTTTCATCATAGGCATCGGAAATTTCTTGGATAGCGACGCAGTTTTTTCAGGAGAAAAAATGGTAGTTGTCCCCAACTTCCTTTGACCACTAATGTGCTGAAATGGTGATTTTGGGGCTACTTTCATGGCCAGACTCTCTTACTCTTAAGCTGTGGGTCTGGTAGTACACTCCGGACATTTCAGGTAAAATCGCCTCCGCAAAAATTCTGCTTGTTTCCAAGGAATAAATGGGCGTGTTATTGGACTCGCGACGTGTATATCTGTGAAAAAGTTACGCATATTGTGGCAAGTGTCTGTTTGCCTTCCCTTAGCAATCGCATACTACGTGTGTCGGTACAGGTTTCACCGGACTCCTCAAATTCAGAACTCTGAATTGATGTAAACTTTGGTGCGTTGCTTGCACTCTTCTGCCGCACTGGTGGCGCCTAATTGTTCCTATTTGGGGGCATTATAGCGTGCTTCGATCGCCGGCTCTTTCTGTGCGAGGAATCTGTGGACTCTAACTTTGCTGATCTTAAACGAAGACATGATCTATTAGCCTGAAATTTCAAATCCTCACTCGAACCCATCATCATAAACAATCGTAGGTTTTCAGCTTTCTCATCGATATCTACCCATATTGAGTTAGGGAAGTGTTTTAATAGTTTCACCTTCTCTCTCCCTCCCTCCCTCCCTCTTCGTTTTACTTCCTGTTTTGCCTTCCGATGTTTTTTGTTCCTCTAGGATATTTTAGGTCCTACTCATCAACTTTTTAAGTTCTTTATATTGTGTTCGCGTTCCCCAAGCTTAGTAGGCTCGATGAGTACCGTTGCTATGTTTCTGAGGCTATAAACATTCCCTTCAAAAGCCTTTAAACTTTGGTAATCGCTGTCGGGCACCCATCACATCCTGCCAGCAACCCTGATAAGGGTTAAGCATATGCGCGGGGTAAGCAAAGGCTACGGAGAACCGCCTACAATATTTTTAAAAGTAGGTGTTGTTCGGCAGAATTTTGGTCAGGCCTTCGTCGGCAGGGTGAGATTCGCTGACCAATATCGTCCCGGGCGGTTGGTGCTATTAAAATGTCTACACTGGTTCATTCTTCTGCACCATCCACACGTAATTCTCAAATAAGAGGTAAGCTCATCTTTAAAAAAGCTCGGGGCGGGCAACAGTCAGTTAGCACAAAAGACTTGAAGTATTGTTATGTGAAATTCATACGCCTCCCAGTAAAACAGGGATGTTAAGACGCTTGTTAACTTGTTAAACAACAGTCGACATTTTTCAACGCCGCGCATATACTTACTCCTTGCCGCAATCCCTTTTTGCGCCTTCATGTTCAATTTCCACGGTGTTGGAAAAGCACAACGTTCTTTATAGTTGACAGGTTCTGCATACCCACATCTAGTGGAAATCGAATCAAGTGCTTTTGTTTGGGAGTCTGTCGCAAGAAATGGGAAAAGGTTTACACAATCCGAATGGATCGTTATTCTCCTGGTATAAAATGTTTTTGTCAACAGATGGCTCACTGGCGACCAAATGGTCAGGATGTTGATCCTTGATATGGGTGTGAATCTCACTTGCGTGACCAAGTTTTGTCATGACTAGTGGAGTGACTGGCATTAAAAGACGTGTTTGTCACTTTGGACGAAACTGAGATAATTTTTTAATACTGCTAGAAACATAACGAATATAAAAGTCTTTGATGTGAGTAAGGTCTGAGTAAGCCTGAGTCTGCGACTAAATTGCAAAGGTAATTCTAAGCGTAACTACGCGTCATTGTCGTAAGTCGTTCATAAGTTTCTTGACCACAGGTATGGACAATCAGTTAAGAGTGACGGAAACGATAAAGAAAAAAAAACAAATGAAATGAATTTTGTGTGTGGATGATAGCGATGTCAAAATAATGCCGATAACGAAATCTTGTGTCAAAATTCTTTGTAATCGGAGGGCGGCTGCTTTGTATAACAGGAATAAGCGAAAATGTCCGACGGAATGCTGAAGGACAGTGATGGCACCGATCCGGGTTCTGTCGTGTTACCGTAATGTCGCCGTCGGATCTGGTTGTGGCATCAAACCCAGATGTCTTCATCAACTTGGACTTCGAACAAAATATTCTCTCCATTAGCTTCCACGGTCGTTCCAATCCAGTAACTAAAACCCGATCGATGATCACGAACAAAGACAGGTGTTTCGACAATGGGCTATCTGTGAGAGACAGGTGAGGTTGTCTGTGTGGACTGCACACTGCTAGGAACGAGTACATGAGATATTGGAGCATTTTCCGAACAGCCAACAGTTCGGCAAAAGAAACGCCACCAGGAAACGGTGGGTTCGGAGAAATCCTGTAAGAAAACAGAAATTCCCGGAGTACCTAATCCGCGGTCCCCTTCCCACGAGCTTTCAACCAGACTCTCTCGAATATTTCGACAAAACGTCCCACCTGACCGTTAGACTGAGGGTGAAAGCGTGGGAATGGGTGGGCTGAATGTTTTGCTAGCGGTAGAACTCGTCGAACGTCGAAGAAATAGATTAGTAGCCGTTTTCAAGACGGAGACTCTCAGTAGACCGTGCTGGCTGGAAATGCGTCACTGGGTTTAGAAAAGCTATTTTGGGCCAGTTTGAATGGACATCTACCGAGATTGTGTGTGAGACTCTATCTAGTGGACCAACGAAATCGATATGCACACGCAGCCAAGGCCTCTGAGGTGGTGGCCAGGATACTGGTGCTGACATGGTGACATATTGGCAACTTGCTGACATTGAAAACATCGTCGAACCAGGTCGTCAGTGCTCCTTTCAATACTCGGACAATATGCAAAACTGTTAGCAAGAGACCTCATTTGACTGGTAACAGAGTGGTCATAATGAAATTTACGGAGAACATATCGCATAAGCCGAAACCGACAGAGAGACCCTGAATACCACGAACTTTAGGCCCAGTCCCGAATGGGCAGAGAAGATGGACGCCAGTTGTGAGAATTGTGTATTCTGTAAAGAACAACTGGGGAAGGGATTGGCAAAAGTTGGAAGTCAGAGGAATGTACCGACGTAAACGATGACGCTCGTCCG